ATAAAATACAAATAAAGAATAACTAATTAATGAATATAAAATAAAGATAAAATTACTAAAACTCATTTGATAACAATTAGTTGCATGTATTCTTCTTTTTAATAAGTGTAGCACAGAGTTTTGCTTCTTCTATATTCAGTTCTTTAAACATACAACGTGTATTTTCTATAACTAAAAGCTCATAGATACTTTTTCCTGTTACTTTAGCTACTTCTGTTGCTACTCTAAGAGATATCTCATTAAATCTTATATAGCTCTCTAATTCAAACTTGTTTATTTTCTTCTCTTGAAACAGTTCTAGTATTCTTCTCAACTTGTATATCTGTTTTGCTATATCTTCTACTTTTTTAAATCTTCTTTTGGTATTTTTTCTAATTTCTAACTTTACATGACTATTTTTTTATTTTGTTTTATCTATATATCTATCTATCACATAGCTTTTTGCATATTTGTTTTGTTTGCACTCTATTATGTAATTTGTTTTGTATAACAAAATAGATCTACACAACAGTATCAAGTGCAATTCTCACAAAAGTTCATAAAAAAAAACAAAATTTTTATACTTTTTTAGTTTTTCTTTCTATAGCTTCTTGGCCTTTATTTTTAAAGCCTCAGCCTCTTAAGAGACTGTATATTTCTTTTTGTTCTCTTTCTCTTTTCTTAAGGTCACAAGTATTGTTTTTTAAGTTGTTTTTTCTATAAATAAAGATTTTTTATTTATGAGTATTTGTGTACAGAAGATTAGCGGAAAGAGTTGGTGTTTACTGGTTAGTTAATCTAATTTTTTTTTTGATATTAATATTTATTTATAATTATATTTATAATGGTTAATTTAGAATTTTTAGTTGATTCTATTGCAATATTAGCAACTAATTCTATTTCTATATTAATAATTACTATATTAACATTATGTTTTTTAACTCTTCATATTAAAAAAAATTACTACTAAAATCTAATATTCATATTACAAAAAATATGACTTTTTAAGATTTACTTAATTATATATTTCTCAATGGTCCTCCAAGTAGAAAATGATTCATAATTAAATCATTATTAGAAGGAGATAAACAACTTTTTTTATCTGATCAAATTATAAGTTAAATATTTAAAGATGTATAGTACTAGTCACAGGAACTGGACCCCCCTCTAAATTGGTTAAAAAATTTTTAACAACAAAAATTTTTTTATTTTTTTAAAGTACAGGGACAGACTATAATTTTAATACATAGTATAATCCCCACTTGATTCTATTAGATCGAAGACCCGAGTTGACATACTACATACTAAATGAGCTGCAAGTTCATTAGATAATTAGTTTCACTCTTTTTTTATTTCCCACTTCAAACCTACTACAGTTCTAATTTTTTTTCTTTGTATTTTTATTTTTAAGAGTCGCTACAAGTTTTCTATTGGATTTTGATCCAGGGATACTGATGGCCAGGGAAGTACTTTAATTTTATTTTCTTCCTTCTAGTCTTTTGCAATTATTGAACGATGTTTTGGGTCATTATCCTCTTGAAGAATCCAGCTCTTATTATCTTCACCAAAAAACTTCTGCGCAGAAGGCAAAAGACCCTTTTTATAAATTTTGCACAAAAAATCTACATTAAGGTTCTTGGTAAAAAGAACCAACTCACCAAACCTCTGACAAGAAAAACAGCCCTACACATGCACCTTCTGAGGATGCTTAACAGAACGAAATACTTTTCAATGTTCTTTGAACTGCTACACCCTTTGTTTATACTGAAATAATGAGAAGGTACTCTTATCTGTAAAAATAACATGGTCCCAGTTAAAATTTTTATATTTTTCAGCCTACTTCAAGCGTTTGATTTGATGCTTTGCAGTGAGTAGTAGTTTTGAAAGACCAGATGCAAAATGTCCTCCAGCCTCAACAAGATGCCGTCTAATTGTTCTTGCACTAATGTTTATACCTTGCTTAACAAGTTGGTTTTGAATTTCAAAGCTAGTTATATTAATTTTTTTTTTGCCAGTTCCACAATCTTGCGGTCTTGGGTGGTGGTTGTGGCACGTTTTGGACCAGGCCTTTTTTTGCTATTAAGGTCCTTGGTTTGGTAGTATCTACAGAGCCATCTATCAACTGTCACTTTACCACAGCCAACATAGGCTGCAATTTTATTCAGACCAAGCTTTGGTCCTAGAGGGTGTTCATGTAAAAAAACGATTTTATATCGCTTGTTAAGGGGAATTTCTATTTTTTTGGGACTTAGATGTTAGATGATCATCTAATATGCATATAAGCATTTCACAAGCCTAAATTAGTACTATCGGATTTTATATATGTCACATTTTATATATATAAAATTTTATCAGATGTAATATTGAAAATCTATTCTGTCACGTGATGGTCCTGTTCCCATGACTAGTACTGTATATAGTCATATTTGAATAGATCTTGAAGATGTTAAAATAAAATTTGATGATTTATTTGATTAATTTAATTTAGTTAATTTTTTTATTTATATGTATGCAAATATTAAAATTTAATAAAGTATGTTAAAATCTAAATTTATCTGTAGAGTTTAGTACCTGTTACATAAATATATAAAGCTGATAATTTGTATTATATGATGTTTGTTTACTTTATTTCTATTTTACTAGTTTATACTCTTATTAAATTTATGACCTTTATTAGTTAAAATAATTACATAATATATTTAGTTTAGAAATGATTATCAAATTTTAAATCTTTTATATCTAATATATAAACAATAACTATGTATTAATTTATAATATTAAAATAAATATAATATATTATATATTTAATATACAAAAAATTATCATATATATCCAGCATGTTGATTCCTATCCTAACAAATACTAATAACAGACAACTAACTACTATCTCAGACCCATACACACCTTTGGAAAAAATTCTCCAAAACAACAACCTCTATAACTCCTTCAAACACC